CTCCCCTCTCCGACTCTCCTCTTTCTTGCGCTCCTTTCTATGTTCTATTGTTCGTGCTTTGAGTTGGCGTCCGGTTTCTCCTATGTATGTTTTATTGCAGTGATAACCCCTACCATACATTAAAGGCATAACAGAAAAAATAAGAGCAACAATGAAAAAACACAACATAAACACACCAACAAAACCATACACAACAGTTAGAAACAGACTAGTACACCCAAAAGACAAAATATCAGCTGGACTTAAATGTGGAGTCGTTTACGAAATCCCATGCAAACTCTGCAATAAAACATGCATAGGAGAAACCGGACGCCAACTCAACACACGGACAATAGAACATAGAAAGGAGTGCGAGAAAGAAACAAGTCAAAGACACACAAGAGCAGCAAAACAAGAAGCAGAAAGCACAATAAAGAAGTCAGCCGTAACAGATCACTGCACAAGAGAAAACCATATAATGGACTGGGACAACACAAGGATCATAAACACCGAACAACAAAAATACAAAAGATGGATAAAAGAAGCTATAGAGATAAGGAGACGTGGATGTGGGACCATGAACAGAGACGATGGAGTTTACACGTTGAATCGTGCATGGGACTGCATCATCGGAGAGGGGAGAGCGGGCAGCAGAGGGCGACAACATCCTCTGCTGCCTGTGTATAAACGGAGAAGGAAGTGACGCCACCATCAGCGTCAGCCTGAGGAAGTTTGCAGCCGCTGACGAAACGTAGCGCGGGGAAAACAGATAAACAAAAACTGCTCTGTGTTTTAAAAAAGAACTGCAGCATGAACCTAGGATGTTTGGTTTCCTACACACGACCAGGAAAACAAGCCAGTCCTGCTGGTTTCAGAAGCGAGCAAACATTCCCTCTCTGCTGACTTAATTCAGGTCATTATTGAGCTCTTTATTGTTGTTTTTATTCTAAAGGGAGTCCCACCTTCACCTACACCATCAAATGGGGCGATCGCATCACCAACAGCTAACAAAGATGGTCTAGTTTTCTAAAGCGAATTAAAATGTTGAGGCCTGACTTAAATAATCCTAATGAAATACCCCTGAAATGTCCTCAAATCTGCTTTAGAAAAGTCAGGATTCATGCAGCAGCTCTGGTATGTTCCTTTTCTATGGCTTCATGCTGTTTGATGGGTGTCACTTGATTTCTGATGCTCCAGAGCTGGTTTTGGGTCAACCCTCTGCAGGAGCCTCCTGATACTTCCAGACTAGCGTTTGAAACCTTAAACAAATGAGAGGCGTGGGAGTTCGGCTCCTTTGCGTCCACATTACTGGGAACTGATTGTAACCAATGCAAAGTGTTCTTAGCCAGTGAATGAATGGTTTTGATTTTCACCACAGGATCAGTGCTGCTTATCCATCGCTTCCTTCCTTACTTCCTTATGTTTGGTGGTTTCTCTGTTTTGTGGATGTGTCTTTAAAGCTCAGTCCCATAAGCTAACTGATTCTCATATGGGTCACAGTGTTTTCAGGTGAAGGCAGTATCACTGCGTATCAAGATCAGGCACCACCCGCTTCTCTGATCTTCCTGCTTCTGCTTCCCCACATGTGTGTTATCAACACGTCTCCAGTGCGTTGAGAAGATGCCTGCAACATGCTGGTACTTGACTCCCTGTTCTTTCGTGTCTGTGGACCACATCTCCTTCTGTTTCAGCACGCATAACGTTTCCAGGTGTTACAAAGGGATATATACCACGTTTAACAGCATATAGACCATATTGAAATGCCAAACGCTGCCTTATTTTAGTTTTTTTAACTCTTTACTTTGTTGTTTTTGAAAATCAAGCTCTTAATTTACCTGCCACAGCTCAGGCAGATTGAGAGGAAGTAAAGCCACCTGTTCGCTAAAAGGTTAAGCCCGTCAATGCTTTGTACGACATTTTTTTAGATCACTGCACTGCAATGAATTAAATGCATACCAATAGAAAATAAGTAATAAACATGATTTATTGTGAAATGCCAAAAAGTGAACAAAAAGAACAACAAAAAAAAGCAGTGAAACTCAATCTGTGGAGCTGATCGATTCACCATGAAGTATTCTGATAAGACACCACTTTAAACAGCATTCGTGGATGTTCTTACGCTACTGCTGTACCTGTCTGTGTGATGTTGGTATAGTTAGGTTGACTTTACACTGTGATGCACTTTCTGATTGCTCTGTGATTAAGCACATGGCCTTCTTTTGACACCATTCAATAATGATTTGCCCAGTGAGCTCAAAGCAAACACCCAACACCAACCACGTGACCCTGGTCCTGCCGTGTGTCTGCCAGGAGCAGAGATGACCGTGTAAACACACATCAGCACCGGCATGTGCATAAACCATAAAAACCCTCTTTCATGTCTTTCATTTAGCACGGTTTTTATTGAAGTTAGAACCGATTCTGGTTTGTCCTGGTGTGTGTAGCTGTGGACTGTGCTCAAGGTGGTGTATAAGGCTAGGAAGTTTACAATATGTGATGCAATTCTGTTTCACAAATTTTGTATATTTAATAAAGAGTATTTTGTGTTTTTTGCTCACCGTATCTTTTGTTGATTATTTTATTTAAAGGTATGGTTATTGTTATTATTATAAAGTGCCACAATACAATAAAACATGATAATAAGGCCTCTAACTGGGAAATGTGCACACAGCTTGTTCAGGAGGGAGCATTTCCCAGGGCCTCCACTAGGAGGCTACATTCCCTTCCAGACATCTACGGGCTGGAGCTGTCTCATTCTGTTTAACTCCCACTTTTTGCAAGATGAGCCTCTTTTTCTGTTGACAGCAACGTGAGGAAGTCTGATTAGCAGTGAAATCAGTCAGTGACAG